ACCCCCACCACCACCACCAGCTCCACCCCCATATCCACCTCCAAATCCCCCACCACCTCCAGCTCCTCCCCCATATCCACCTCCAAACCCTCCACCACCACCACCTCCACCTCCAACGCCAAACCCACCTCCGTTACCAATACCCAGAAACTTCTCCTCGTCATCATGCCCCACCACATCTCTACCCACCACCACACTCACCACAAGAAGAAAAAAGCAAAGCCATGACAAAACTCCAACTCGCACTGCACCTCGTATCATCTTTGCTTGAACAATACTCAGAAATCTCTGCAACTCTCCACTGCTCTTTCATTTAGAGCATGAGGGTTTTTATACACTATTTCTAAGCCTCTCCTACTTTCATCCTCAGTTTGATTTGCATTAAATGGTCTCAGCTACCAACTGATCTCCACATTTGGATAGAATGCTTACAGTTATAATCACGCGTTGTACATCTTTAATGGATGTTTTGCTTTTGAGTAATGATAACATAAATTTAATAAAATTTAATTTTTAAATTCACGTAACATTTTCTTTTACTTTTTCCCATAAAGCCTCCGGAGCAAACGGGAAGATCTGACACCTATCTTCTCCCTCACATGGCTGTGATCTGCGATGATTCATAGACTTGTTCACTCTGGGGCTCTGTAGTAGGTATTTAGTACGTGAAACGTATATATATCATGCATCCGAGGAAGACTACATTGATGAATTCGGTACTATATTAAAAATGCAAAAAGTAGAAAAATTATACTCAGTAAAAATCTGTGATCTATTGTAAAGTTTACAGCTTTTAAAAAAAAATTATAATTAAATAAGTGCATTCATCATCTATCACAAAATTTTATGATCAATCATGCATATTATAATACATTTGCTGTGTAAAAGTAGGATTTCAATTATGCCGAATGTCATTTAAACTTAAAATTTATCTAATTTGTTTACCTACCTGATGGTAACATAGTTCAATATAATATATGACACGACTCTTTATATATCTTTTTATACATGATATGAATCCGATATAACATGACTCACTAGAGACAAATTAATAAACAAATCCGATATGAGGTGAATATTTTTTTAATATAAACTCGCTAATACCCGATATAAAGCTACGTCACCCGACACAATTAACAGCACTATGCAAGGGGTAAACCTATGACCTATCCTAATTGGTAAGCAACTTGCAAGGTAAATAGAAATTAATTACATGTTATGCGTGGTTAGAGAGCTTTTGACCCATCTTATGATCTTTTAAAAAAATGTCTCAAATAAAGGTGGGTTTCAAAATATTTTTCAAACTCATGTCATTTTANATTAATTACATGTTATGCGTGGTTAGAGAGCTTTTGACCCATCTTATGATCTTTTAACAAAAAGTCTCAAATAAAGGTGGGTTTCAAAATATTTTTCAAACTCATGTCATTTTAAAACGTCAATTGGTTTGACGTTTTTAAGTCAAAAGACGTTAGTTAATTTGACATCATTAACTTAAAAACGTCAGATCAATTGACATTTTTAAACTTATTATAGGTCCCAATTTACTGTTTAAACACGGCAATTGGACTGACGTCTTTAAAAGAAGCGTCAGTCCAAATGACGCGTTTGTTTTAAAATCTGACCGCCTCAGACCAAGCCCACAAAGTCCATATAACTTAAAAAGACCGCTGTCTTCGTGCCTAAATAGAAAAATTATATTAATATTTATCACAAATATTGTCATCACGTCAATGAATGCTGCTTCCATATATGCCTATTTTAAATTATTATAAGTGACTCCTATTATTTTCTCTCGGATTTTAATATAGTCCCAAAAATTTTAATTTTTTTAATTTAATTCATCAATTATCAATTTTATTTCAATTAAATCATTGATAGTTGAGAGACTAAAATAAGACAAGTGAAAGTTAATTGATTAACTTGAAATTGGAGATAAAATTCATGACTAACTATGAAATTTACCGTATTTTTTTATAAAATATTACAAAAGCATCAAATAAATATAATTTTTAATCAATTTCTAATTAATTTTAATTTCTAAAAATGTTTTGCTCCCTCTCTTTTTTAAAGGATGATTTTTTATTTATTTATTTAAAAATTTAATTACATTCAATAAATAAATTTTGATAATTTAAATATACTTATATTTTTTAGCATATGAAACTTAAAAAATTGGAAAACTTATACATATAATTAATTTTTTTATTATATAATTATAAATGCATACATAAAATAAAAATAAAATTTTATTTGTAATGTTGATCATGTCGACATTAATATTTATTAAGCTGTGAAAAAACATAAGTTATTCAGAACGTGTACATGTTAAAAAAAGATGTCAACAATGTGATTGATATTCNTTTATTTGTAATGTTGATCATGTCGACATTAATATTTATTAAGCTGTGAAAAAACATAAGTTATTCAGAACGTGTACATGTTAAAAAAAGATGTCAACAATGTGATTGGTATTCAAACAACATAAAGGATTATCGAGTACACATAAACATGATGGGATAAAAGTGTCAGACGCATCATCATCTCAGTCAGAGAAACGTTAATGAGCTTTCTGATTAATGTTAGTGGGGTTATATATATCATGAGCTTTCTGATTTCTCTGATTGGAACGATGATGCGTCTGACACTTTTATCCCATCATGTTTATGTGTACTCGATAATCCTTTATGTTGTTTTGAATATCAATCATGTTGTTGACATCCTTTTTTAACGTGTACACGATCTAAATAACTTAGGTTTTTTCACAGCTTAATAAACATTAATGTCGACATGATCAACATTGCAAATAAAATTTATTTTTATTTTATGTATGCATTTATAGTTATATAATAAAAAAAATTAATTATATGTATACGTTTTCAATTTTTTAAGTTTCATATACTAAAAAATATAAATATATTTAAATTATCAAAATTTATTTATTGAATGTAATTAAATTTTTAAATACATAAAAAAATCATCGTCTCAAAAAGAGAGGGAGCAAAATATTTTTAGAAATTAAAATTAATTAGAAATTGATTAAAAATTATATTTATTTGATGCTTTTGAAATATTTTATAAAAAAAATACAGTAAATTTCATAGTTAGTCATGAATTTTATCTCTATTTTCAAGTTAATCCATGAACTTTCACTTGTCTTTTTTTAGTCTCGCAACTATCAATGATTTAATTCAAATAAAATTGATAATTGACGGATTAAATTAAAAAAATTAAAATTTTAGAGATTACATTAAAATTCGAGAGAAAATGATAGGAGTCACTTCATGATAATTACCCAAATAAATATTAATTTTTTTTTATTCAAGCATTAGATTTTTATTCAAGATTTTTTTTATTTTTTTATCCAAGCATTTTCGACTAATGTCCTTTTAGTTAATAAAATAGGCATATGTGGATGCTGCATTCATTGGCGTGACGACAAAATTTGTGATAAATATTAATATAATTTTTTTATTTAGGCATGGAGGCATCAATCTTTTTAAGTTATATGAACTTTGTGGACTTGGTCTAAGGAGTTTAGATTTTAAAACAAACGCGTCATTTGGATTGATGCTTCTTTTAAAGACGTCAGTCCAACTAACGTGTTTAAACAGTATATTGGGTCTAGCTTAAAAACGTCAAACCAACTAACGACTTTTGAAATGACCTAAGTTTGAAAAATATTTTGAAACTCACCCTTATTTGAGACTTTTTTTATTAAAAGACCATGGATGGGTCAAAAGCTCGTGGTTAGAATTTAGTTTTAGTAGCTTGACGGATAAATCGGTAAACCCATTGGACCCATGAAGCAAGTTGACCAATACAAACTTGGTTAAATATGTTTTATACTGAACTCGAGTATACACGGTTACAAGGATTTGACTTCGGCATTGTCAAAAAAAATTGGTATCATATCTCCAAATTTACTACTTCAAAACGTGTTTTTATATTTTTTATCATTATTATAAATATTTTTATCACATTTGTAGTAACTATTTTTACCATTTTTTTTAAGTATAAAAAATTTATTATTTTTGTGGGTAATTTATTACATTTGTGAATATTTTTACCATTGTTATAGTAGATATTTTTATTATTTTTTTGGATATTAAACAATAATAAAAATACTTATAAATATTGATGAGACATTTTCAAGTATTCCAAAATGAAGACACGTGTCCTCGGCATCAGTAAATACTTGTTACTATAATCACGACACGTACCCGTCGGATCACAAGTCCCTGTTCCCCCTAGGTACTGTTCATAGGGATCAATGACACCCCAGTACGTTACGTACCGACACGTATCCCTCGGTCGAATATAGGTACATCGGTCCCTACATGTACCACTCCCCTCGGTACCAATATGTATCCGTGCAGAATGACGTTCTCTGCTCTTGTAGAGGCTATTGATGTACAGGTCACTAGTCTAAGCTAGGCTAGGTTAGTCATCATGACCTCGTCTTACACAATTAGTGTGAAAAGGCACAAGAAGACAGAGGACACAACCAATGGAGAATGGACGCGTGACATATTGTGTCACATCAGAGATAAAAAAACCGGATGCCCTTGCTGACACACGACTTGGGAAAACAAGTATTTAATTACACCATTTCCCTTGATGAGACAACATTTAATGTGATAAGGCTCGGAACTGAAAGGTAATAAATGTCCCTAAAACTGGACATTTATTACATCCTTGCCAAGAGGAGCTCATTAAACAGTCGGCAGGTCGATGACACAGCCTTGATTGCTCGGGATCCCGAGCAGTTAAAAGAGAAGACATTCCTCATAGGAATCAGTACGCACGTTGGTCGTATCTAATGATCACCTACTGACCACACTAAAGCAATCATGAATTTTTGAAGTATAAATACTTCTCACAAAAGGCAAAACGATATAAAATGAAAAACCTTTTCTCAAACTTATACTTAGTGTTTTCTTCTTCCCCTCTTTTAAAAACTGACTTGATCGTCGGAGGGGATACGCCGAAAAACACTCCGGCGACCTTCTAACTTGTCTTTCTCTGTTCTAGGAACCTTCTTCAGCATTACTGGACTGCTCCCTTGATCCACGACAGTCACCCATTACCGTTCCGGGCCAACAACAGATCTCAGCATGTTCCTAATAGTAAGGTTGACCATTCGACTGACTCATTCGAGTTCACCAAAGAAAATATTTGTTCTCATGTTTATATTATGCAAGATCCTGCACGCACAAATATAATAAATTTTGATATAAACAAAAAAAGGTCTTTAATTG